CTTTCAACTTTATGTTTATACTTTGCTTTCATCCCTTGAGATTTTGGAAGAAAAAATCCTCTAACCAGCAAATGTCAGACAACAATCTTATGTCTTCCCCAAGTTTTCATGTAGCCTGGGAAAGCATTATCATGAATTCCCTTCCTGATCACAATGAGGTGTTAAAGCTGAAGCCTTAGTGTGCATTTTCAAATCCCAGCATCAGTGGTATTGCTGCTTGGAATTTTAACTAGTGTGTCCAGCTAATGCCCTGGGTAACATGAGCCTGACTTGTGGTATTTATGACCCACTACAAATGTCAGTTTAGTTGAAAATGTCTCCTTTACAATCTTCTACCTTGTTCTGACATAGACTTGATACAGTGAAAGGAGAGAGTATTGAGACAGTATAAAGTAAGTGGAACTTGACAGCCAAAATGATCAAGATATGTTACTGCGTGACATTTATAAAATATTAGAACCGCTCAGGTTGGAAAGGACCTTGAATGATCATCATGTCCAGCCTTTTGTGAGAAAAAAGAGCCTAGATGTGACTGTCTAGTGCCCTGTCCAGTTGAACCTTGAAAACCTCCAGTGACAGGGACTCTGTCACATCCCTGGAGAGCTCGTTCCCGTGACTGATTGATTGTTCTTACTGTAAAGAAATTTCTTTCTTACATGAAGACAAAACCACTACCAGTGCAACTTGTACTCATCACCTGTCTTCTGTCTTCCTCATGGCTTGCCTTTGGACCCTCTCCATGCTGTCCTTGTCATTGTATGGATTGTGGGGACAGAACTGGACACAATAATCAGGCGTGGCCTGAGGAGCTCTGAGTGGAGGGGTGTGATCCATCTTTGTCTCTGTTGGTAATGCAGCTGTGGGTGCAGCCCAGGGTTTGATTTGTCTTGGTTGCTGTAGCAGGACACTGCTGACTCTTGCTCAGCTTGTTGTCTGCCAGGACCCCCAGGTCCCTTCCAGCCAGGCTGTTCCCTGGTCACACAGATCCTAGCCTGTACTCAGATCTTTGATTATGTTGTCCTTGCACTTGTCTTTGTTGAGTTTCAGACAACTCTTGCTTGCCCCAGGTCTCTCTGTAAGGTAGCTCTCCATTCTGACATGTCCATCTCACAACCTACTTTGGTGTCATCAGCAGACTTTGTGTGGGTGCTTTCAATGCCCTTGTCTAGATCATTTATGAAGATGCTGAACAGTATGGGGCACAGGGTAGATCCCTGGTGGCCCTCACTTCTGCAGGCTGCCAGCCCAAGTAAAAACCATTGATCTCCATCCTCTGAGTGACCATCTGCAGGCCAGTTGATGAAACTGATGGAGTTCAAGAAGTGTTTGAACAATGATCTCAGACAACGGGTCTGGTTTTTGTGTGGTCCTTTGTGGAGCCAGGTGCTGGACTCAGTGATTCATGTTTGTCCCTTCCAACTCAGGATATTCTGCGATTCTAAGTTTCCAGCTGCTAAAAAGGTTTTATGGTAATTTTGCAAGAAAACATCTGATCTTTGCTTATGCAACCTGAAGTCTAGGTGTACAAATGACTTTGAAGAAGAAAAGGCAAAATTAAAGACAATCCCAAGTTTCCTAGATGCAGACAGAGTAAAAAAACAACAAACATAAGAAAATTTATTCCATACAGTTGTGTTATGAAATGCATCTAAACCAATTGTGAGCTATCTGAAATACTAACTTAAAATGGACTCATTTGTGAATGTCTCTCTAATCGTAGAATCACAGAACCATTCAGGTTGGAAGAGACCTCCAAGATCACCTGGTCGAACCATCCCCCTACCACCAATGTCACTCACTAAACCATGTCCCTAAGCACCACGTCCAACCTTTCCTTGAACACCCCTAGGAACGGTGACTCCACCACCTCCCTGGGCAACCCGTTTGAATGCCTGACTGCTCTTTCTGAGAAGAAACGTCTCCAGAGAAAAATGTTTGTGGGTGGAGATTAGGAAAGCTCTTATCAGCTTTCTTCATATTGGTTGTTACACTGGAGATCAGTTATTTTCTGTAGTGCTAGTAGCCCTTGGTTATTTTAGTAGTTTCTGATTTAATGTTCTTTGTAATTAATTCCATCTTTTCTAGTGATTCTATAGGTTGCTTCAGGCAGTGCCTTCAAACTGTAGATGCTACAAACGATATTTAGTTAATGTTTGCGTAACAGGAGAGAAAGCTTAGCACCTTTTGACTGTCAGGAGCCAAACATCAATTTGGAGATGTCCTTTGCGGGCTGTAGTAAGACATGAGTGATGGAGACTTCAAGTTTTTGCACAAAGGCATTGTGTAAGGCACTCCCACAGAAGTGTGAGAAAATGCCTCTTCAGAGACTAAGGCAGCTTTGTCCTCGACCCCCCTGGCAAAATCTCTCAACACTTCATTTCCTAGTAATAATTCCAAAGATTATTTCTCCTCTGGGGAGTCTGTCTATCTTGTCACACGGTGTGAAGTGCACGAGTAGTTCCTTTGTAAATTGCTTTTCATAATTCTGTTGCTATAGTTGAAGCGGTATGTAAAGCAGTTGCTGTCCATGCCACTGCAGCACTACTGATGTTAAAGGTGGAGGATAACTCAGGTTTAACTGTTGGCATCTGAATTCAGGTTAGTGCTGCTTTATATTGTTAATGTAGACATAATTGAGTTGTTTCCCTCATGAAAACTTGAATGTTTTGTCATGCTTATTTATTTATTGACCAGATTAAATGCAAAGAGCAAAACTGACCAAAATTTTAACTACAAGTATCACTTCAGAGTTGGCACATGTAATTTAATTCTCTTATCTCCGATTACATCAAGAAATTACTCTATGCATTATAACATACATGGTCATACTTTTATAATAATAATTATTATTATTATTACACTTCACTTTCACTATTAGAATCTCTGCTAAAAAGTCCATTGTTCTAGAATTTCTGTGTGAAGCACCAAGTTCCACCTAGCATAGGGCTTTTTTTTCTCTAGGATGGGTAGACAGATAGACATGGATTGTGATACTAAATGCCTTTAGTGAAACACTTTATGCAAGAACTTCAGATACTTCACTTGACCTTGTAGAAACCTCAGAAACCTTCAGAACAATGTTCAGGTATTTGTATTGAAATAATAATACTAAATATGTTCTAATTCACATAATAGTAATTTTATTACACGTTTCCTTTGCCTTCTTTCTGTGGAAAGGTCTGCACAACGTAAAAATGAGCAGCATTTAAAGTAAGCCATGAAATATTCATACTATTTGTGGTGTGAGTCAGTGTGGTAGTATTAAGCAATCCAAACTAAAAGTGTTTGAGAAAATTATGGAGGGAAAGAAATAGTAAAGGGTAAGACTGCTGAAGTAGTGATAATTTTTTTAACCTTTGAAATTTGATAGAATGATGCACCAAGTGATGCACCACTTGGCAGTGTAGAGCAGCTGTTGCTTCAGATCTGAACTGTCACCCACACATTATTTAGAATATGATTAGTTGTCATTTGACAAATATGTATCTGTCTTCCTTCAGTTGCTGGAAAGGTTGTGTCAAGATTTTGTTTCCTTCTCTTTCTCAATGCCTCTTCTTTCTTTAAGTGAGATAGGACCAGATGGGAGGGGAATAGCAAGAAAAAATTATGAAATAGGGTCTTTTGCTGTCACTTCTTTTGGTGGCTGAGAGTCTTTAGCAGCAACAGTCTATCAAATTTGTCTCCTGCTGTTTGTGAAAGCTGAGCATATGGAAAGGGACAGAGGTGCTGTCTCTGTATGGTGGGGAAGATTATTCATTCGTGGCTTGCAGAGCTGTGTTTGCACAAGAAAGCACTGGTATTTTTAGTGGTTAACGTTTTGGAAAAAGTCAGTGTGACAGTCTCTTCAAAAAGAACCCTCCTTTCTTGAGGGTCATTGTTGAAGAATGTCAGATGTTTGTCTAATACATGTAGTCCACATATTCACCATTATTTAGTGATCAACTTCTTACTCATGGTGCATTTTCTACCAACTGCTGCTAAATTTTTTCAAAAAAAATTAATCTTACCACAATTTTAATAAAGGAAAAAGGCGTTGAGAATAGTGGGGAACAAACGTCTTGAAGCGTGTTCTGCTGAGAAAAATGTCATACCTCAAATTAAGCCGAAGGTGTGTTCCTGAGGTTCTGTTCTTCACACAAAATAGAAAAGAGCATTGGTCATAGTGTTTCTGGCTGTTCTTTTTTTTTTTTTTTTTCTTTCCCAGTGTGTTTAGGTATATTTGCATGCATTTATCCTAAGATAAATCCTAAGATTTATCCTAAGATAAGTCCACCATATAAATTTTAAGTGTATCTTATGATTCAAGTGTCTTCCGTATTGACCTGGTTGCAGCTACTCACACACGGTGCCAGAGTGTTTTTCATGGTACTGCCCTCCTCGCAACTTCATGAGTTTCATTAAACTGTTGGGCCAGTCAAGTTTCTTAAGAGGATTTTGTAGTCATAACGTTTGGAGACAGGTTTCCAAATGCTGTTTCTCTTTTCTGCTGTTTTCTTTGTCCTTCATATTTGTCCTCTTTAACTTAACTGCTGTTCAGTGGCAAAACTCCCAAGTGTGGCCTGTCCCAAGTAAAATGGAAGTTTAAGGTGCCATTGATCTTATTGGAGCATAACAATTTAAATTCTTGCTATGTCACTTCTTCAGAAGATACTATGGAGATCAGCAGCAAGATTCAGCTCCTACTTGTGTCTGACTCTGGTTATAGAAATGTGGGTAATAGCATGAAAATAGAGGTTAACACTTGAAGAAAAATATTTCTTGCTTTTCCAAGGTCTGTGTTGTAATTTCATGCCAACATCGTGGTTTCTTTATTGGATTGACAAAAAAAAATAAATAATTGGCTTATTGAGTTTAAATCTATGCATTAATTCATTTCCAGATCAGACAGTCAGTATTTATTCTAAACTAAATTGTTTTTTCTTTTCCATTCCCATTTCTCCAATCTTTCTTCCACTTTCATCCCTCCCCTGCCCCCATTTTCCCTCTAAAAATATCCTTAGGAATGACTTGCTGATGGTGTGCCGCCAGCTGAATATGGAGGAGTCTGTCGCTGAGATCATGCACCAGCTGGGAGCAGATGAAAATGGAAAAATATCCTTCCAGGATTTTAGTCAGTGCCGCATGGAACTGGTGCGAGAAATCAGAAAGGAGGAAGTGGAGCTTTCTGTGAAATCGGATGACTCTTGTAAAAAGAAAAAGTTAAGGGATAGAATAGCTTCCTGGCCGACTAGCAGCAATAACAGTTTAGGTAGGTATGACTTTTAAATGTCATGCTGGAGTGGTTTAACAGACAATAAACTCTGGGGTTTTTGTTACCAATTTTTCTGGTATCAGGATTTTCCATAAAGGGTTCTCTGAATACGCTTTGGCATAATTTTGTCATCTATTAGTGGTGTTATAACTGATGCAGCCTTCTATTCTGGTGTGTTAACAAGTATCTGTTGCAGAACATCCTCCTCAAAACATCCTAGTCAGCCAAGACAACAAGCTTTCTTGAAGAGACAGGAGCTGTGGAGCTTAGCTGATAACAGTGATGTAGTGAGCGTTTCGTTGTCCAGAAAGCCCAGGCAGGCAGGTAGTTAGGTAGAAATATAAACAATTAGGAAAGAAATAATCTTTGTATTGCAGATATAGGATACTTTAGGAATGTGGATGTTTCTTGGCTGCTTTAAAAATTGATCCACTTAGTTGGGGATCCAAGTGCTGAATGTGCCAATTGAGAGGATACAATAATTCCATTTTCCTTTTGCCCTCACTCTACCACCTAAAAAAAAAACAAAAACAAAAACAATCTCATCTACAGGAAGACAGGATGTAGGAACAGAAGATTGTCTGTGTCATTGAGTCCAGTCTTCCTTAGCATTTTGATCAATTGCCATCAAATCAGAACTATTTACAACTACAGAATGCTTCCTTTCACCCTGTAACAGATGCAAGAGATCAGAAGACAGCTGTTGGTCTTTAGACAATAGCATGTGGTCATAAACCCACCAATGCAAGCTACTGTGGAAACTGCTGAGGAGACTGGCGGCACTCTGGCTTCCTGCAGTAGCTGCATGCTAGCTAAACATGGCCCATGGTCTGGGTACACCCAGGCTTCAGAAGAAATCTGTGATTGTATTTAGTGAGAGATATATCCCCATACCTTTTTTTTAGACTAAATTACCCTACATTGTTTTTTTTAAATGCTTTTGTAATAACAGGTCTTCCCTTGTACGCATCTTAATTAGCAATGTCTTTTTATTTTTATTTTAACTCTCAGATACATTTAATTCTTCTTCCTGAACAGTTTGCTTGCCTCTGTTCTGGTTCCTCATGTTTCTGACCTGTCATTACTTTTCAGTAGGCAGTCTCCTAGAATGTAAAACATGGTGTGTATTGTTTCTGTTTTTTGCTTGTTTAGTGGGGTTCCTGTTTTTTTTTTTTTTTTGTCTTGTAGTAACTCTGCATGTATTCTTAGCTTGTCTCACACATTCAAATGTTGCTTACTTGCCTTGGATCCTTAGTGAATTTCCTGTCTTCCTGCTTTTTAGATTGACTGTATTTCTCCCTCACTATCCCATCATCTGATGCTCATCTGCTTTTTTCTTTTTGTCTTCTCAACATAGCGAATCTGTTTCACAGTGCTCTTTGTTTTCTGTCTGATCTCTTTTGCTATTCTTTATAATCATACCTTTTTGTATTTAATATTTCCTTTGTTTATCCTTCTTTGGTATATATGCTTGAGGTAAAAGGTGATTAACTGTTTAGTTTTTGTGTCCATTCTACATCACTGGTTACATTGAATCTTCATAATCCCTGGGCGCAATTGCATTTCCAGACCATGAATAACCTTCAGGAGCAGTATCAGACAACACTTCAAAACCAAGATGACCCCTGAATATCTTCTATATTGGATTAACAATGGTGTATATTCCGTAGCTCATATATGTATATTCAGTTATCTTCACTGCCTTTGTTATATAACAGAGGGCCTAAACTTTACTGGAGAAAGGTCTTCATTACAGTCTCAAAATGCATTCCACAAAGAAATCTTGTTAATTGCTGCCCAGAAGTGGTCAGGTGGCAAAATTGTGGTCATGTGTCATGTACCAATTCAATCTCTACTTTTTTTTTCCCTACTGGGGGGATATCTGTATTTCTAACGGCTGTATGAGAATAAGGTTATTACAATAGATTTGCCCAACAAATGTTTCTACTCCCATATTTCCAGGCGGCATGCCAGTAAGCTAAAATGGATGACAGTTTTAATCAAGATACAGAATTCAGGTTTAGTAATACTCAGTCATATCTATGCTCAGCAAGTCAAACCTGCATGTGTCCACTAGCTTGAAATTCAGTAGAGTGTAAGATTTATCAGTTTAATCTTTTATTCAAATGCATGAAAAAGGACACTTTTCAAGTTACTAGAATTACATTTTTAGCTGCTTGGATATCAGCAAATCAAGGCTATTATAATGTATTCTAGTTCTCACACTGTTAAAGTCAATGGGAACTTTAGTTTGCAAGTACTGTTTAGTGATTTTTCTATAGATAAAGCTGAATGTGAATTTTGTTACTTTAATGTTCTTCTGAAATCCTTTAAAATGTATTAAACATGAATAACTTCTGAAAGTGTTGCTGGAGACTTGCAATGACAGTATGGTAACCTGACTCTTTAGTATATCACTTCAGTAGGATATACAGGAAGACTGTCAGTTTTTGATCAGATCTGTGGGCACTGCTCCAGTTACGGAGACTGAGAACCATGATGGGTATATTAAATCTGTGTGAATAGTGTATCCAGTGATGGAAGTGGATTGCTCGGCAAATGAGCCCTTACAGTACAGAAGAACTATGCCTCTAATGATTTAAGGCAGGAAATGACCCGAACAGCTGTGGCTTCTGCCAGGTTTTTCAGTGCTAATGGTTTTACATGTTTTATGTAAAAGCTAGAATTAGAAGCATTTGTATTATATGTTGTATAGATTTGTGTGCGCTTTCCAGGTAATTAGTAAATTGCTGGGTTTTGTTTCGTGATAAAGATGGCCTGTTTTGCAGATGAATAAGAAATGATGTTTATTAGTGAATTCATTCATTAGACCAAGTGAAAGATTTCCTGTCCCACTGAGAGGTGCTTGTACTTACTGGCCTGATTTCCTATTCTAGGTAAATAGTTATGAATACCAGAGTCCACAAGCAATCTTTAGCTGTCAGTTTGTGATAAGTAATCATTTCATAGCCAACTCCCCGGTTCTCTTTAATGAAAATAAGTCCCTTGAAAATTTCATATGGTAATGTATTTACGTTATGGATCAAGCATGCGAATAAATCAGAAGAATGATAGAAATTCAGCCTGAAATTAAGCATATGGGTAAACATGAGAGACTGGCCAGTTGGAGTTGAAAAATCATTACTTTTACTTGGCACGAATTCCATGTTTGATCTTATTGCAAATAAATTGCCTTCAAGAAAGTGATGCAGTGACTACATTTATTTATGCTACATTTAATTAAAATCTTCGGAGCTAATATGATCTCAAAAGTGCACTACAGATTCTTCTTGAGATTTATGAGCAGAATTTCATCCTAGATCTGTTTGACTGAAACAGCCGTGACTATCTGTTAGGCTGAACTTAACTACATATAAATTTATGTTAACTGTAAATGATTCCATTTATTAATTTTAAATACTCCTTTGATACTGCTGTCTTTCTGCAGATCAGCAGACTATATGTAACCTTTTTTTTCCCTAAAAACTGAGAGTGCTAAATTCTATGAGCAACAAAATAAATGAACCTGTTTTTCTGTGGGATTTGCATTTGACAGCTGACTAATCTTATTAAAACTGCAATATATAGTGTATTTTAGACACTAGCAAATCTAGAAAGGAAGGTGTTATACAGAATGGGTGCTATGCTAAAGGTATTATTCAGGAATGGAAAATAGCAATCAGGCTTTGTATCTCTGCTGTTGAAGACACACAGTTGAGTTGTAACTGTGTGACCTACAGATCAGTTGTGCTTTGTATTATCCTTCATTGCCAACTGTCTTCATGTTTGCCATTAATATCTTCATCAATGATCTGGATGAGGGCATTGGGTGCACCCTCAGTGAGTTTGCAGATGACACCAAGTTAGGTGCATGTGTCGATCTACTCAAGGGTAGGAAGGCTCTTCAGGAGGATCTGGAAAGGCTGGATCCATGGGCTGAGGTCAACTGCATGAAGTTCAACAAGGCCAAGTGCCGGGTCCTGCGCCTGGGGTGCCATAACCCCAAGCAGAGCTACAGGCTGGGAGATGAGTGGTTGGAGAGCTGCCAGGCAGAGAAGGACCTGGGAGTGATGGTGGACAGTCGGCTGAATATGAGCCAGCAGTGTGCTCAGGTGGCCAAGAAGGCCAACGGCATCCTGGCTTGTATCAGAAACAGCGTGACCAGGAGGGCTAGGGAGGTGATCGTCCCCCTGTACTCGGCTCTGGTGAGGCCGCACCTCGAGTACTGTGTTCAGTTTTGGGCCCCTCGCTACAAGGACATTGAGGTGGGGGTTGGTCTATTCTCCCACGTGCCTGGTGACAGGACGAGGGGGAACGGGCTAAAGTTGCACCAGGGGTATTTTAGGTTGGATATGAGGAAGAACTTCCTTACTGAGAAGGTTGTGAGGCATTGGAATGGGCTGCCCAGGGAAGTGGTGGAGTCACCATCCCTGGAGGTCTTTGAAAGATGTTTAGATGTAGAGCTTAGGGATATGGTTTAGTGGAGGACTTGATAGTGTTAGTTCAGAGGTTGGACTTGGTGATCTTGGAGGTCTCTTCCAACCTAGACGATTCTGTGTGTGTGATTCTGTGTGATTCACAAGCCAGGCGCATTTGAGAAGCCCGTACAGGGTAATCTTACGATATCACACATTTCCTGATATCGTGGATCCTTCATTGCCCTTCATTTTGGTGGATTCTCTCTTCTACTCTGTGAGCAAAGATGAAATCATAGAATGCCAGGTCCATCAGCATAGTCTGGTGAAACTATCTTTTACCAAACTAAAAAGCATGTTTGTATGGTCATGACTTATAGTCACCCACTTCTCTGTTGCAGTGTGCAAGGCTTCTGCACAGAATGCTAATTGTTAGAAGAGGAAATGCCATTTACATTCAGATTAACACAATTAAATGGCACCAGCATCAGAACGTGGCCCTCTGTGATATTACCTTTGCAGGAGGTATGGCATCATACCTAATGGATCCTCACTTTCTGATTACTACTGTAAGAGCAAGTGTTGTATGTCAAATACAACATATATCCTGAGTGAATTACCAGCTGTAACTGAAGACACAGTTTTGACAACTCCAGAATTTCTCTGCTGAGCCCAGACACCAAAGGTGAATGAGTGAGGAGGACAGCATGTTTAGCAGCTGGAGTTCAGAATCTGTTATATTGGTCAGATTTAGAGAACAGCAATAAATTATTAGAAATACTGGAAATGCCTTTCTCTCTAACAGTCATGACTCCTTTCATTTTTGGAATGTATATTTTAAGCCAGGAGTACAGGCTTGAACTTTTAAGAAAACTTGGGTTAAACATACAGTCACAATACTGTCATTACAAAACAAACAAACAAACAAAAAACAAAACAACAATAATTCCATTTGTGACTGCCAGGTGTTTTCTGCATCAGTTCAGTGTTTTAATCGAATAACAGGTAGTGAAGTCTATGAAGGCCACTTCGTTCTTCAACAATGCTGGTATTGCTAATTCAATGAATATGAGAGCTTTTTGGCAGGACAATGTCTTTCAAGTAATAGATATTCACAGTGCACATACTCTGTTGAATGTGTGCCATACTTAGTTCTGTAAAAACAGGTGTGATACAGCCTGCTCTCAATTTTGTGGCTGCCCCTGTGGAGACAGAATTGTCTGAAGTATTCTTGCCTACTCTGGGAGAGGGCAGAACTGGTTGGTTCCCCATCTCCCCTCGCCTCCTGAGACATCTCTGCTGCTTCAGTTCTGTTGGTTGCAGATTTTCCTGCTGTACTGTATACCGTAGCCACAAGAGGGCAGAGATGTGTAACACTGTACTTAGTATCAGTGCCCTACACAGGATGTAATGTATTTATGGTTTGGATGTTAAACAGCTGGCAGTGGTATCTCAGTTCAACTGTGCTGGACAGCTTGCAGCATGCAGCTAGATTATTCACAGTTGATGCATACATTTGGTGTAAAAGTAATTGAATTAGTCTTTAATAGTTACCTGTACGTGTAATATGAATCAAGTTTAGTTACGTTACTATAAAATATAATTCTTTTGTTGTTATTTCTACTTGAATGCTTAAAAACTAGTGTATTCTCTTTACAATAAGCCAGGGAAACCATCTCTGGGTTTCTTAAGAGGATTTATCAGGTATAGCTGCTTTACAGGGCTGTTAGGATGTTGATCTAATGATATAAATTAGTTGCTACCTTGCTTCCCTTCTGGATGGTTTTCTATTTGCATGTTTGCAGGTTTAACTTTTTTGGGGGAGGGAGTGGAAAGGCACTCTACTAATAGTTCATTACATAGTTTGTTCTTTCTCCCTGGCATTTTACTTAATAAGTGATAAACACTCACTTGGAACGCTTTGAGTGTTCAGAGAGAGAAATAGCTATAAAGGAAAAACTTTTGAGCCATCACGATGGCATTACAGACAATTACTTACATTTTGCTGATGGCATGGTGGATATAGAGCTTTGCTAAAGTTTTCAAATCTGGGTTTTATTCTGACTTTTAACTTAGAATGGGTGCTTGAACAAGTCACTTAATTCTTTTCAGTATTCTTTGTGCTACATGTGAAAAACTATAGCGCTGCCCAGGGTTATTAAATAATCTATGGAATATTTTGCCATGCGAAATTTTTAAGCCTAAAATCTAAAAAGCTTTTTAAAGGATTTAGACTGTTGTATATAAAGCAGAAATCCCCAGGGATTAAATGGTTACTGATAAAATAAGAAAACTGTTTAAAATTTGGTTTAGGGTTTAAACCTGTCTCTGACTGTAAGAAATTGGAAGGATTATACAAGAAGAAACAGCAACCCTCCATCTTCCTGATCTAAAAATTTTCCCTGAAGCATTCATTGTCTCTAGCTACATGATTGTAGTGTTGCATTGATTTTTTAATGAAACACCTTGTGACTGATGTTTCTGTGAAACCTGAACTGTAACAGGCAATTCTGAGATAATGAGAAAGTGTTGCTAACATAAAAATGTCATAAACACTGTACACCTACAGAATTCATATGTTGTGTTGTTATTCACTAAACTAAAAGTTAAGAATTATGGTTTTCCTCTTCTGTTCTTTGATTAATGCTGTTTTTTAATCTGACATAGTTACTGACACTTCTTCATTCCGTGGTTCTTAACTACTGTAAATTAAACTACTTATTTTACATCTTTTAGTAAATAATGTATGCAAATGTTTTTCATTTTTTCATCAGGATCCTGTGATTTAGTAAACGTTCTGTGCATTGAAAACGTTACTGCTTTTCTTCTTTCTTTCTGGTATTGTCAGCATGTGCAAGATGGGGTATAACAGTGGAGCTGTTTGCTTTTTATCTTTCTGGAAAGGCAAGCTGGCTTGTTTCTGTGTTCTTTATACATAGCCCATACTAGAATGGTTTTCTCTTTCTGCATTTTAGGTGCCTTATCAGGAGCCAGAGAAAGCTGGGAGTATGATTCAGGAGCAAGAGACCTTCAGAGTCCAGACCTCCAGAGTCACTTTACACTACTGAAGGTGTTGGAGAATGGTGGAAGCAGTGGGACTCAACCGGCTGCTCTGCAGAGGCTTCTGTCTCAGGCCTCAAATTTTAGCAGCTCTGTTGGAGGAAGTTACTTGGAACTTGCCAACACTGTAAGTGCATTTTGCCTCTGCTTTTAAGTTCTGTAGATATTTTTTTCTTGCTTTTCCCTGATGAAGTATATTAATCCATCCTTTGAACTGTCATGGAAACAATGCCAGGCTGCTGTTGCCTTTCATTTGCAAGAAAGCTAATGTGATTTTAGCAGTTGAAAGGTGCATAATATTTCTATAGCTTGTATAATTGAGTTCTACCAGAAAGGATAGGAGTTGCTGAGGAACCAACTTCAAGTTATTATTTTATACAGTTTAACAAAAGACAAATTATGTGTGAAAACTTCCTACCAAACATTTATTTATTTATTTTTAATCAGGGCATCAGATTGTTTAGAAGTGTTGTGCAGGAAAGTTCTTCCAGTGTTGTTTCTGTACTGGCCACTAAATTTTTGATATTGGCTTTAAACCCTCAGTTGCAGCATATTGTGCTCTTTATTTCTGTAATGACTATTCTCTGTTGTATAAAAAGTGCAACTGTTGAAGGTATAAGGCTTTATTTTTGGCTTTCCCATCAATTTATTGGGATCAAGTTTGTGTTTTAGCTTTAAGTGAGGCATGTTATAGAAGACTGTTTTGTTTCTGATTATGCTGCACAGGGTTTTAAGTGGAGAAATAAAAGATGATAAAATGAAAGAGAAAAATTTTTTGAATTTTATGATTGTTTATTGTCACATTTGACTTTGAAATTGATACATGATAATTCTAGCTGTAAGGAAACCTTAGGAGGTTGTCTAGTTCAGCCTCTTGCTCAAGACTTAATGCCTAATGGAAGTGGTTACTGGCAACAGAGTAAAATCAACTTCTTTTAAGGTACATTACTCAAAAAGAAAATACCCTGAAAGTGTTTTTAAAAGACTTCTTCTAATATATATATGTTTTAAATTCATGAACACAGTCTGATGTAGGACCGAAGTTTCCAGGTGCAAACTAAAAATATGTAGATATTAAAACGTGATTTATCTAAGAGACAAAAGACCTCAAGTAAGTTGACAGTTCCGTAATCGAATTGTGTCCTCATTTTCTCTAGCAAGCACAGCAAGAATTAACTGTGGTAAATTGTGAGCTCTGATCTTTAAGACTGGACAGAAGCATTTGAAAACTGTAAAGAGCAGAAAAAGTGCCAGCACACACGTAAAGAAGGCAAGATGGAAAATCTGGGTAATTATAAAACAGTTAGCAGCATTACTTATATCTCCCAGTATTTTTCTGGAGATGTGCGCAATTTTGACTAAGAGATGACATCTTGGTTTATATAAGAACAATCATGTCCAGCCAATCTAAAACTTATTTTTACAGAACATTAGATTTTGGATATAGTGAAGGGATAGAAGATGATGTGTATCTCTGGTAAGGCATTTGACCCTGACTTGAATAACGTTGTCATAATCAAATGCAGAATAGGGTCTAAACTACTACTTAGGTGAATTTGCGATTGGCTTTAAAGTTGTGAGGTGCTGTGTTTTTAGTACCTTTTTGAGCTCTGTTCTGCCCCATTCTCTGGTTTGCATGAAAACACTAACAAATTCAAATCAAACTCTACTGGTAAAATCAGTGCTTATCTACAATGCAAACTGAATTTGTGGTCATCCATTAAAAAGGTGCAAGTCTAAGGAAGATAGTGAACCAGTGTTCAGTTATACATATTTTCATGACTTTGATTGGTTTGCTTAAGAAAGTATGTTCTTGGAAAAATGTGAGCTACTTCCCATAAGCTTATTTTAAAGGATGTAGGATGATGCTTAACAGAAGTTTAAGTGAAGCTGCTTAAGACCGATGTAGCTGTGCAAAAAGAATGGAGTGAATATTTTTATTTCTGGATTAGTTGCTGTGTCCTTTGTGATTGGAGTTCATTCAGATTTCAAGGTGGGTGTGTACTAATACATCCTCTTTCTGTGCTCCTCCTGATTTATGATGATTCAGAAGTGGTGGGCTTTAGAAGCTGTTGTATGTTTGCAAATAAGAAGACACAGGTGTGCAGTGTTATTTAAGAAAGCACGGTGTGAGGGCTACTGCATCACTCTAATATGTAGCTATCTTAAAAATAAAAATGCTGAAGGCTCATATGAAATAAGATCTCCAGGTATGATGGCTTTCTTTGTTCCCACCTCTAAGTTCCTTTTATGCTTACTGTTTTGAAAGACACCTTATCTTTGTTTTAACAAGCATCTATCCTACTTTTAAATATTCTGTGCTCTTTTAAACCATAGGTACAATCAATAGTCTCTCATTTATATGTAGATGAATATAATAACATCTCCATTTGACTCCTTCTTAAGCACTGGTGTCATGAGTAAAAGTCATATGCAAATTCTTGCTTTGGTTTTCTTACAATGGAAAGAAGAGGTGAGAGAAAATGGAGAGAGAGATTTACTTTGTTTTTCACTATTTGCATTTATTCAATTTACACTGTTAATACTGAGGGACTCGCTGCAGTCTAAATTTAGACTTCTAAAGAGAGAGACAGGCTTAGAGCTGTGAGCTATTATGGTCCTTTATTCTCTGTCTCTTTCTCAAAATGTTTTACCAAACTACATTTGCCACAATGATGGGCCTACCTGCTCCCTTGGGTTCATTTTCACACATCCCAAATCACTTTCACACTTCTGTGGGCTAAATCTAGGGAGTTTTTCCATTTGTACAGAAGGAGCTGGGCAGACTTCATTGCACTGTAACTAGGGTTGCTTTTATAAAACAAACAAAAACAAAACAACAACAACAACCCCCCCCACCCTACCCCCCCCCAAAAAAAAAGAAAAAAAAAGATGGATCTTTTAATAACTGCATTTCTGCCCTTTTAGGGTACCTAAAACTGTGTGATAGAAGAGCAAGAATTTTAAAACAAACCATGTGTGGACATTTTCCTCTGGTACATAAATGCTGCTGAAGTTAGCCAGAGTTTTAATCTTCAGGATGATTACAAAAAAACAGAGCCCTTCTCTGTCATCCTGCTCTTATGAACGGTTCTTGACAATTGAACATCTCCCAGATATATCTATGTGGGCCGTATGTACATATTCTTGAAAGTAATGTTTTTTACATTTCTTTGTAGATGTTTAGACTTCAGACTCATAGCTCTGAAAAAATATCTGTTGTATGGCTGAACATGTGTAACCTGGGTGGTCTCTGGTTAGAAGTTGTGATTCTTTTTTCTCTGTACATATGACTATTCAGTCAGGCTAAAGACATCCCAGTGTATGTATAGCATGTATAGCATATCCTACAGCATAGATTATATTCCTCAATCAGAGGGTCTTCATGATGCTTTTAAATATTTAACTACTCAGCAGCATTATCCCTGTTCCTTCAAAAAAGTGATGAAATAATAATAATAATAATAATAAAAAGCTGTTTGAAATTTAACCATGCATGTTCATTGCATGTGTTAGTACCTTTTAATTTCATTTTGCAATATTTTTGTTTATTAACACGTGTTCACATTCAGCTTTTATTTTACCTGAATAATTTATTTTGTAGTCTTTCTAGAATGTATAACTCTTTCATCGTTTTTCAGATTCATCACTGTTACCCACAAGCAGTAAGAACACATTTCTCTTTATAGCTTCTCACATTGGTACCAGTATTTATGACTAACATATTAACCTTTAATGTGACCTGTCACCACTTACTGATGATGTACCTGTTTGTGTCAGTAGGTTAAACACAACTGCAAATATCTCTGACAGGAACCCACGTACATGTTCCAAATGTAGTCAGTCTGTGTTCTTCATATATATATATATTTAATTGCATTCAGATCTAAACAACTTAAGTATGTTTCATGGATAGCAAAGAATTCAAGCATTTCAAACTACTTCTGTCAGGAGTGTGCCTGTTCGGCAGTTTGCTATGTATTTGTTCTTGTGTCTGCAAAGTTGGATGAGAATTGCTAGTCTGGGTACTTGTATAAGTGTGGAGAAATAACTGATTCATGTAGTGTCGCATCTGCTTGCTTCCCAGGAGGCCATGCAATCTTGATTTGTTCCTGTGGTGCTATCAGGAGGAATTGCACTCTGTTGTAGAAAATGAAGTATTGTTGTTCTCTGGAAACTTGACACAGGGCAGCGTTTTGATATGATATGCACCCTTCACACTGGAATTCCAGTGAAGTTCAATAAGATGAAGGAATGAGGTCTGCATATGTTTAATTTTCTTTTCATATTCTCCTTGCACATGATTGAAACAGAGTAGGTAACCTTGATACTTTTCTTTATTGAGTAGAACATGTACATATAAATGCTCATGCATATCTGTGTGCTTACTGTTGGTTTCTGTTGCCTTATTTCAGTGTTGGTAAGATTAATGTATTTGTTGTCACAAGCAGCTATATTTACGTAAGTAAAACCAACTGGGATGGTTTGATTTGACATGATGATATGTTGATATGATTTCATACCTCTGTTCTATCAGCTGGAAATAGCTCTGTTTTGTTCAGTAAGTTCCTGCACAAAGATCTTAAATTTTAAAAAATGTAGCTCAAAGCATGCTGATGTATATTTTTTAACTAGCCAGTCTCTGGACTGCTATGTTCTGGAATGCTTTAATCTCTGTTTTTTTCCTTCCAAAGACACTATAACTGTCTTTGCTATAGCTATAGTCCTTGCTATAGCTATTTTGGTTGTAAACGTTTAGGAAATACTTGATGGGGGTATGGTTGACTTGCAGAGGAGAAAAGTACAGCTTTATTTTAGTGAATAGCCTGTGGTAGGATTCCTTCATGACCACTTGCTTCTAGAAGCCCATGTTGCTGTTTCCTTTTCAAAACAGTTGTGCAAGTTACCACAGATTTGCATGTTCTTACTAACTTGGAGAGAAGGGCAAATTTACAGAGTTACCTTCATTGCTTCCTTCAGCATCTCGTTGTTCTGGTCACTGACTAAGCAAGCATAATCCTGCTTTATCTTGAGCAGAGCTGTCAGTGCAAGATGAATGTGTCCAGAGCGCTGGTGCAGATTGCTCCACCTGCCAACTCTGCACTCATTTCTCATCCTAAAGGGAGC